CTCAATTCCATTTCTACTTAAATGAAAGGCAGTCCCAGCAATTGATCTAGTCTAGGTGCATAAATATCCATGGATTACAAGGACGGAATGTACCCTGTGATTTGTTTTTAGAGCATCTCAACAAAATATGTAAGCAGGCAATAGAGACTTTAGGAAGCAACTTTTCAGAAAAGGCATTGGAGCGTGTTGGACACTGTGTAGAAATTCTGGATGGTCTTTTGGACCAATTTGATAGTGATTCCTGTATCAACAAACTATCTGGACGACATACGCTGGCTGATTCGGAAAAAGATAAACATATCATAATTAATGAGCAAGTCGAAGCAAACATATTCTCATATGCCCAAAATAGGGAACATAAATCATTTAAATCTATAAAAATTAGTATCGTGTCATCATTGTGCTACAATCAAAAATTTCATAAATGGATAGCACAGCAACTCTTCTCTATAAAAACTAAATTCATTTAACATAACAAGTAAAATACTTTATCTGTAAGTAAGAATAATGATAATAAATCAATTTTAATTCCAAAAAGTAAAATGCTATTGATTGAACAAAACAGGAATGAAGTTATAGACAAGTGATAATGTGGGAAAACAGTTATTGCATTCACATTTCTTGGTACATATGTCGCAACATTGACATCCTTTGTTCTAATCAGAGGGAACATAGTTTTTCAAATTCACGAAAAAGCATGTCACATCTGCATTGTGACTTATTTTTGACGTAATCCAACATGTTACCTTCACAAATTTCTAGCAACCTCTTGACATGTAACATTACAACATATGAATCAATTTCTTCCCTGCCTCCTCTTCCAATCTGTGGGACATATGTCTCCATATCATTCGGTACACGATAATGAATTATGCATCTCACATTTTTATAGTCTATACCCATCCCAAAAGCATCAGTACATATTACTATCCTTAAGCATGATTGTTTTGTGAAATTGTCGATGATGGTACTTTTGACATCAGAAATCAGTACCTTTGTAAAACATGTCAACAAGTCGAACTCCAATAACATCTGCTGAAGTACCAGTAGGATGTCAAAAAATTGGTCCCAAAAACATTTTAAAATATAAATATAGTCACTTTTAGCTTTGCAGAAAATCATAACCCTTGGCATGAGTGTCAACTTCATCTTCAATTTGGTCAATAAAAGATCAAAAACTTTTGGTACATCATAACCATTATATCCCTTTACCTGAACAACACTAAATCTAATGTTACATTTGTCTGGTGATCGTATAATTGTAAATGGATTTCTCATTCCTAAAGTAGCCTCCACCTGTTGCCGTAGAGGTTGTGATGCTGTAGCTGTTAAAGCCATCACTCCAACATTGGTAGGCATAATACTTCTAATCTCTTGTAGTCTAGTGAATGCTTCTCGAAAGGAAATCCCCTAATTTAAAATGATTTGAAATGCATAATTATGAAGACTGATAAAACTTACCATTTTATGATGCAATAGGCAGTTCAATCATACAGGTAGGTAGATTGATCTTTATTGGTATAATTTTGGCAAATGCATGGTGATACGTAGCGGGTTTATGGTATTTGGAACCACTTTTCATTTTGTATTACTGCTGGGGGGTCTTGATATTTAGAGCTTTTTGAATGATTGAATCACACTGATAAATTAATTGCTTATATGCCATTATAATTGTTATTGCCTTCATCACAAAACTTTGTACCATTATAGAATAAGGTGCATAAGATTCATCACGTTTATTTACTATAATAGTATGACAATAATTGTTGCTTAAAGCTGGCATGTGGTAATGTTATGAGGTATGTTCACGCAGTTTCCCAATACATGTAATAGGTACGTTCTCAAATTTGTGTTCATTGATCTGTGTCTCCTGTCATCCCTCTTTTTTTGTATCTGATGCTAACACAGGCTTGGTGTCAGTAAGCAAGTGTAACATGTCTGCATATTATGCATGTACATTAATGTATGCATGAACACTGTTATTATTTTTTACTAGACGAATGTAACACATTAATTGGGCAAGCCTAAGCAAGCAAAGCAATGTACATACCATACATGTATGTACATTAAAGGGGAGAGGGGGAGAGAGAATGGGGTGTCGGTCTTTCTGGTCAGTAATTTGATGTATCATTCATTGTGTAGGAGAATGTCACCATTACTTTACAGATAATGAAGAGAGCATGACAGTGTCCAAAAGTTTTTAAAGATCGATATCACTATGTACAATTAATTATCTATTTCTGTCTCTCTTAGTACAACGAATATATCATCAAGAAAGATAGCAGCATTCAATATGGATCAAAACGAAGACGAGATTACTAATGCTGTATTGTATTGACTGAAGCAATGATGATAATAAGTGGTGTGCAATGTACATGTTAATATAGACTACTGCATGTGAAATTTTAATGGTAATTGTCACATGCCATAAATGTTTATATTTTAATCGGAATCAGCTCAAGCTTTGTATGTAAAACAAGATCGTGCATGTATACAGTGTACATACATGCACGTATCATAAAAAATATAGAAAACGAAAGTTTTCTCTAAGCATAATACACCTTGTAATATACTTCAGGATGTTTGTCTATACCTGTATACATATCCCTTGGCAACATTTTATTTCTTTTGTTAATTTCCTTAGAACCTCATTTATGTTTTTGTGTACATGTAAGCTCTTCATATGCTACTCTCTTCAACATCTCTTAACATTCACTAAATACAATCTT